CTCTCATCATACACCGAGCAGGTATCGCAAGTTAACACTTCACTAATGGTAGCCTTTTGGTGGCCAGTAATTGCCCAATGATTATCTTTACACTCCGCAAACAGTCACACGTCACCTTGTGTCTCCACAGAGCTGACAAACTGGCCGATGAAGGGCTGGTTTGGACGGTAGGTGCTGGGCAGGCCGATAAAAGAAAATACCTGGAGTCAGCTGGTCACTGAAATAACTTGTTAATGCAAGGACTGAAAGTAGATGCTCGGTCAGGAGGAGTTCACAGAGTAGAATGGTTGTACTGCAACCACTTACCTATTTAACCTATCAACCTGTTCACTTTCTTGCCAAGAGCTAGAAGATTGACCTCGCTCTCATGTCTGTGCATTGACTATGGAACTAAATTGGGAAGTCAATAAACTAAGCACAGCATCAAGACTGGAAGCAACTTACTCAAGTTAAAGTACTCCTTTCACACTATTTTATTCCCTCTCGATAGACAGTGAGATTTGGAAAAAAAATGTGTCCAAGTTAAGTTCTGTACGGCTAAAAAAAACAGAAAAATATGACAAATGAAGATATAACTTCCTTGGTGGAGAGATTTCAAGTAAAAGGTAAATGTACAAATTCAAAACACTCAAGCAAGATGTTTTCAGTTAAAGGAACAACTCCATGTACAGCTGTAACTTTGCTCCTGTGGAGGAGTGCAGACGACAGGGCTGCACGACACCCCTATCTGTTGACTCTACACGTGCGTAGTGTTTAATTGGCTGTAATCCAATTGAGGGATACGGCTTCCTGTTAAGAGAGGTGCAAAGGGTCGAAATAAACAGCTTACAAGACTATTAAACACTAGAGACGCAGCCTACAGCCTATATGAAGTCAAACCCCTGACCTTCCTAACACACTGAGCACCAGTCTACTTCACAGGTGTGACCTGACCTCCGGGGGCTGCTTCACGTTTGTGCTACTCTAGCTTTGTTCTATCTATGAAAGACTTTTTCCTCATTATTAAAGCAGAGCAAATAGGAAAAGGGACACAGAGAGAGGCGGGAAATTGAAAGGGTGAAGGCAAAAGGACACGCAGCATCAGAGGAGAGACAATTTTGGTCGTATCTTATCTCACTTTTATCGTATCTTGCCCCCAAATTGGCGTTTTCAAGGGAGATCAAAAAGTATGGCAAGCATGTGTTTCTAACTAGAACTGCAGCGCACGCACAAAACCTGATGTTATTAGGTCATTATGATAGTGACCTCTTTCTCCCATCAAAGCCCCCGTTTCAAACTCATCCATGAGCCAAAGGTGTCAGCTAGCAAAGACTCTCTCCAAACCTCATCCAATCATCCAGCCCCCTATCCTGCAGATTAATGAAATTCAGTATATACATGATTTAGAACAATTGGTCTGACAGGAACAACAGTTGGTTGATGCAGAAGGCATGGGCTTTTTTGAGGAATAAAGAAAGCTGAATGGTCAAAAAAAGACTGATTGGAACATGGCTAAAAACCATGGCAACAGACTCCTTAGTAAACAGTTTATGGAAGCCCAGTAGGAAACCCGGTGGTTGGGTAAAGACAGCCTTGTGCTAATCAGTGCATACCAACACCTCCAGAGCCCAAACCTCCATGAATTTCTCAGGAACAGATGTGTCAACGGTGCCTGCTGTGTCTAAGCCAATCAGAACTGTGTTACTCAAAGAGAATGGTTGCATAAATTACTGTGCGAGTGGATGCACATATGCATTAGTGGTGTACACTATGTTTTATATTCAAACATCCAGTTAGAATGGAAAGCTTCTCTCCATCAGTTGAAATAAAAAAGGACAACTCCTGTATCGTTGGTCAGAGTCAACTTCTCTCTTGTCTTTGTGCCAAGTACCACCTGAAGTCAAAGAGGACAAACTCCAGTGAACTCTGGTATAACTGTTGAATTCAAATTACAAAAAAAAAACACCAAGGATTACATACAAGTCTTTTCAAATTCCACACCAAGGAGATTATTTTGCATCTGGCAAATCAGAAAAAGAGCAAATGGATAAGAAAATGTGAGAGACACTTAAAACTATAAGTTCAAAGAAAAAAAAAAAAAGCATCTTGATCTTTCTAAGGAGTCCCGTCGTTAAATATAACGTTGCCACTCGCTACACTGTGATCAATAAGCCAGCAGCAGAAAGTCCGAAGCAATCTTACAGGGTACACTACAAACGCAACTCATCTAATCATCTTCAAAGATTCGTAACCCAACACAAACCCTGAGACCAGCTCTGAATCAAAGACCATCACCCTCCAAGCAACAGGCCGACGCAGCACAAGTGCATCCATGTACGCAAACACAGTTGCAGTTGCACATGAACTCACACCTACTAAGCAACTTTTAGCCTCAGTCACAGCCTGCTCTGCTCCTGAAGTAACCCAAGATGTATAATTCACTCCAATCATCTATCAAAATAATCATCCGCTGGGGCAACCGGAGAAGCTTGGCAGTGAAGTGACACATCTGAGGTCAAGGGGAATCATCTTTCAGGGGCCGCTCCACAATGTGGGTTGTTGCCAAGCTGCGGCGCTGGATGGTGAGGCGGCCATGGCGACGGTGGAGAGGGGACAGGGGAAAGGGGGGGGGGAGTAGGCATGGTGGTGTTGGTGGAAGGGGGGGCTGCCAGTGCAGATGCCCGCAGACAGACAGCCTTGCCTGAGAGACACGAGAGCTGCCGGAGCCTCAGACAGCTCGCTCCATCACCCCCTCCAACTACCCCTCCCCTCGCGTTGCCATCTGTGAAGCACACACACGTGTACACACACGCGCACACACACATAAAGAAAGACGGCACCACTAACCAACAGGCCCAGGGACACTTAGCCACGTTAGCAGCCTTACTAAGACCGCTGTGCCGGGTAACTGCTGACAAGCTTTAAAAAGACAGAGAGAGTGAGAGTTAAAGAGGGAGGGAGGCAGAGCTGCTGAGCCAGATGGTGGGTCTAAGCTAAGCTCAGCACCGAAGAAGATTGAGATATCAGCCAGGTGAATTCTCCTCCGGATTTTTTGACAGGTGGGCAGAGAAGAGCCGTCTGGGCTCGACAGTGCTGCCATGTTTTCAATAAGCACTGCTGCGTGTCCTACCGTGTGGCATGTGCAGCCGCGCTGATAGTGCGGCCATTTTTGTGTGTGAATATTTATGCGTGTCTGTTATTCTGCTTCTGCGTGTCCATATGGGAAGTATGTGCGCGTGTATGGTCACATTGTTTATTTTTTCAATGCATGTGCCTCATTGTATAGTATGGTACGACTTGGCAGTTCAGCCGGGCACTTGCTTCAATTACAGCGGATGTTGTTGTCAAGTGTAATGACAGAGTTAGGGCCTCTAATAGGCCACACTGTCACTGAGAGGATATAAACTACTGTTTTCAGGATTCCTCACATCTCCTTTCTTCTCTCCTCTCTGTATTCTTACTCTTCCCTCTCGCCTTTTCTACTCTTGGCTTTTATTTTTACTTCTCTCCTCTCTTTTAAAGTCCTGATCTGGAATCAGTCATGTAGACTCATCCATCCATTGTGGTTGAAGAAGCCCAGCTTGTATCCACGGATTGTGGATTGGGATCGTAATAATTTCACTTTAAATTTCGCACTGATGTTGATCTCTTTGATGGCGGCAGAGGTGTAATGGAATATCATCTGGAAAAAGAATGAAATATTTCTACACTTTGATTTATTATTCAATCAAAGGAGTATGCCATGACAACTGTTGCAGACAAAAACAACAACAGTAAATATGAGTCTGCTTTTATCACAATTTGGGGATTGTGGGACAGCAAATCTCAAGGAACTGTAACCCTTAATCAATTCCCGCTCAGACTTCAAACTGGCTGAAAATCCTGCATCAGTGAATCTTTTCTCATCTGATTGAAGACGTTGAAAATCGGAGTTAGGACGGGGCTCGCTTTGGGCTAAACTAGTTGACAAACTGAAAATGTATTTAAGAGCAGTCTTAATCGTTTAACAGTGGGTAGCTACGGCATCGATCTGGAATTGAGAGTCAAATCTGCCATTAACGATTAATGATTACTCTAGGAGAGGCAAATGCATTTTGTGATCACTTCGGTGAATGGAGACAGTGCAGATTTGTTCATAGAGGGTAAAAGTGCTCTTGCGCTGATGAACCGTGTAGACACACACGCACACACACACACACACACACACACACACACACATTTGTGTGCACACAGTTGCATTGGCTCCACTCTGTAATGCATCCAATATGTGGAGCTATTGGCCAGCGCTCCAGTAGGCAAGCTACATGGCACACAGAAATCTGCACGCTAGTCCTCTGCATGCAGCCCACTCCCCAACCCCCCACGGACACACACACACATATCGACAGTAAACACACTTGCACACACATCAATCCAGCTGTGACTCTTGGACATAATCCAAGTTGCCTGTCTGGTTTGTGGTGCAAGGTGGCGTCTGCGTGCAAGAGATTATCTTCTGTCATAAAAAAAAAAAAAAGAGGACAATCAGCGATCATTGTTGCACAGACGCAATCCAGAGACGAGGTGAACACAGAAAGCCACTCTGAAGAATGGCAGAACAATAGAACACAATTGAGAATTGGAGAACAAGAGAGAGACAGTAAGCGACTGACAGAAAACATGACCGAGACTAACAGAAAAGCAGGCAGTCGTTGAATCATTCTCACACACAGAGCTTTGGCCCAGATCAGCCAGAGAGATAAAGGAAGAGGATTACACTGGCTGAAAGACTTGGAAGTAACCTGAGTCTCCTCTGACTCTCTGCCACTTCTACAAAGTCACCTCTGACAATGGAACTATCTGTTAGTAGAGGGATAGATCAAAAACACACAAGTACATTTGGGAAGTACTCCTTAAGTGATGTGTGTTTAAATGTCCCAAAATCAAACATAAAGAGATGTATGGCACAGAAAAGTGGGGTTGACTAATGAGGAAAACTGGAATAATATATTCTTGATGGTTACAGTGTGAACAGGACTCACCGGTTCGATGCTATCCAGAGCTGTACGTGCCACAGGAAGACAATCAGTGTCTGTTAGGTTTAAGGACAAACGACAATCATAGTTAGTTTCACCTTAAAGGGATTGTTTTACAGCTTTGGTCTTATTTGCATGATTTTGGCCATCATTTGTATCCATTAGGATAACACTGGATTTACCAAAGTAAAATGCTGAGGTTTTGGAAAAACAGCACATTCGGTACAACAAAGTGTCACAAGGTAAGAATGATCAGGCAGGTTGTAGAGCAGGTTGTAGAGCAGGGAATATTTTAGCCAGCCCATCTAAAACACTTAATTTGAGGACAGAAAAGAAGTGCAAACGAGCTAACAATCCCTTAATGCACAGGAAAACTGAGTGCCTACATAGTAGGTCAAAGTTAAAGTTAAAAATGTGTCTGTAAACTGACAGATTCACCTTCCGAAATAAGTGTGGCTAATCTGGAAATTTGTTTCAAACATGTATGAATGACAGCATGTGTGTTTCTGTAGTTGCTGCCAACAGAAATGGAGGCCGCAGCCACAAACATGTGACCCAGGTTGTCTTAAAATGTTCCCCCTCTGAGCTCTAATCTGAACTTTCATGTCATCTACCCGACATTAAACAGTCCAGACAGTGGGCTATTTGTTTCTTAAACAGGAAATATCACATAACTTATGGGATATTTTAACACCTTTATTTAATTAGCATGTTTGCTTGTCTTACCTCTCCTCTAGGCAGCACATAAACATGCTGCTTTAGAACCAGGAAGTGCCAAACCAGTCTTAGCCTATTAGGACTCCTTTTATGATGGTGTTCCTGGGGGAATGCACCAAATGTGGTATAAGTGTGGGGGGGGGCATTTTCTCAAAATGCATTTTCTCAAACGCTTCATTAGAAAATATATATTGAGTTTTCAAGTAGTTCTGATTATACTTTTTGATATGTTTAGTGTGATTTTGTGTCTGCTAATCATCATATTTATCTGTTGAGAAACTGATAAATCATAGTTATGAGGTAATTGATTTGTTAATTGGTATTTCCTGAAGTGGGGGGAGGGTCAGAACTTAAAGGGCCTTCTCTTAAGAATATAGATTTCCTTGTGTAGTTCTGTCACTTGAAATAGATTTGAAATATTGAAATGGAAATGATTTGTACATTTTCTTCTTGGATGAACAAGTAAGAACAATATATAAACTCATAAAATCCCTCTCAATCATCACTTATGAGTATTTGATCATTTTGGTGTGTAGAAAGCTATGAAAACGGCGTCAAAAAAACACGCACACGTTAAGGCATACAGCTTATTTATTAAACACTGGTATTGGAAGCTCGATCCAAAATGAGAATCTGGGGTTGGCTTTTAGGAGCACCCTAACCGCAGTCAAGAACATACAATTCTATGAGGGGCCAACTTTGAATGTTGTGTTTACAAATCGCCACCAATAAATCCTCCTCATTCAGCCTTAAGCAAAGTATAGTGGCCTGACCATCAGTGCCAACCCACACTGCCACACTGCTAGTGAGGCTAAAAGTTTTTGTAATATCCCGAATAAATGAGCTGTGAGTAAAGGTTTGCATCTTTTTTTTTGTTTTAAAGTCACTTCTTGAGGCGGCATTGAGATTTCATATGCCTCTCCGGTAGCAGCTGGGTGTCAGTGACGCTGCTTTCTGATGACCTTAAATAGCTTATTGATTTCGGCGGAAGCAGGAATGGACAGACTGCAGTGTTTTTTTTTTTCCCTGCCCACCTCCTTTGTGTTTTTCCTCTTCCAAGGCTTTGAAATTATCAGGGTCAGATTTATTGTGAAAAAAACACTTGTTTACTCACTCTGCCTTCTGCTGAAAATAAAAACATACACACATAAACAGCCCTTGCTATGTTGTGTGTCTGCTGTGTGTTAGTGGGGTAGCCATGGAGTTACTTATCCCAAAGGGTCAAAGGCATAATGGTTATAATCTCCTTGTGGACAACCTTCTCACTCAACAACACTGCTACTTTTAACAAAGAGCCTGGCCTCAGCCCTCAGCTGCCGCTGCCCCTCCTTGGCTTCCACCAGCAGACCTTAAACGGCTGGTCCATTGTCGTACTGACTATCGACTAGTTAGATGAATTCAAATTTCACATGTCAATTAAATGAGTGTTGCCCTAGTGATTAGCAGATCCCACTAATTGTCGCTCCCTCAATCCCTCCTCCTCTTTTCTCCAAATTTTTTTTTTTTGCCTCCTTCCCCTCCTCCTCTTGCTCTCCTGCCATTTTCCACATGGAGGAGCAGGGAATGGGGCTTTGTGCCGTTGGGCCCCATGCCCCATGTCAAAGATGGCTCCTCAGCCTCTTCCCCCAGCACGCTCCTCTGAGACTCCCAGATCCTCTCTCTCAACTCTGGGGTGTAAGGAAGATGGACATAAAGGGTGTGTGTGTGTGTGTGTGTGTTTATGTGTTTGGGGGGCACATATAGATCACACAAGTGTGAAGAAGTATATAGGGTTGAGTGGATATGCATTTCATCCTGTTTAGGGCCACAGCATCAGGACGCAGGACAGGATGCTCGGAGACATCCAGCGCTACAATCCCTCGCGCACCTAACAGACATGTACACGGAGACGCGGCCGACGTGACGCACACTCCCACACGTGCACCCTGGCAGATAATTACCCCAACAGCCTCTGGAGAGCAGAACGCCCATGTGGGCCCCATAACCGCTTTAGACAAGGGCCATGGCACACCCAAGAACCCCCTTCTTTGTCCATCTCCCAAGCTATGTGTTTGTTTTGCTTGACTCAATGAACTTGATGTGTGGATCTTCACGGCATTGTGTTCCCTGTGCATCCCAGCGGCATTGAGAAATGGCAAATCAAGCCATGAAACAACTCTGGAAATGCAATATACAAATGCTGCCCCCTTCAATATATCATGATATTCTTCTTGGTTTTTTTTCTCAGAGGCAACCCTCTTGGGGTTTCTGCTACAAAAAAAGTGTACACCTTCACTTTTATTGTAAAACAAAAGCACAAATTCACACTAAATCAAGTAGGTGTAAAGTTATAGAAGTTACGAAGAAGTACGCTTTATTGTCTCATCCAATGCACAACATTTTTCTTAAAAACTATACACTATTAAATATTTTGTCCATACTTCCCTGCTTATTAATATTAATATTTCAATCCTTGAGCAAATAAACTCTTACGGTCACAAAGTTGTTTGCCTCCAGCAAACGACTTTCAAGTACAAGATCTTCATGAAATGACTGCATGTTTAGTGAGTCACCCTTTTCATTTCTAACGTAAGTAGTTACTGCAGGTGCTGGATGAATGAATTGAAGTAAAAACTGGACTATTTCCCGCATGAACATCAATACACCCACACACATATGCCCTGCTCTGATCACTTTGACAAATGTGTCATGTCGGAGCTGTTTGAGAACTCTAAAATATTGGGATTTTAAAACCTTTGAAAGGAAGCAAGACAGAAAACTCTCCTCAAGTCTTAAGAGGAGCTCTAATCATCCCTCATCACAATTAAACACAGCGGACAGCAGCTCCAAACACTGGGTGACATTTTAAAATTGTGTGAATGGACCCTACCCCCAGCAGCCCCCCCCCTGTCACCTAATGTTCAACCCTAACCAAGCATCACACAGACCTACATTCACAGCTACAATGGAAAACACTGCAGCAGGCCAGTCCAGCCCAGACGGTTTCGTTTGCACTTTATCAGACCATACAAAACAGCAACGCCTCATTGAGCCACAATTTGCTGCTAGTTTCCTACAAGAAGCAAAACAAAGAATGGGGCGGCCTGGCCGTCCTTTTTGTGCCAAAGCAGCGGACCAGAGAGAACACACACACACACACACACACACATATACACACAGCCAGACTCGTGGAAGTATAGACAGAGAGGGAAAAAAGTGAGAGCAGCAGAACAACACACTCCAGACCACATCTGTCACATCCTTTAAAGTACAACACGAGTAGGCTGCTGAGCTGTATGGCCTTTTCACTCAAAGTAAAAAACAGTGACATTACACACCTACGACACAACCAACTGTGTTGAATAGACTTTGCATATACAAATGCATGTTCATCAACTGCAACTTTTATTTCTCACAGAGGTCTTGCTGCAGCAGCTACGGGACAGAACAATGGCTTGTCCTCATGACGGGGTCACGGCCATGGCAGCGTTTAAAAACCGCTTGGGGATAAAATACTTCTGTTGGGGCAATGGTTCTCCTTCCACCTCCCTCTGCTTCCCCGTCTCAGTCCCTCCTCCTCTCTCGTTGTCTCTCTCACTCTTCCTCTCTAGTTTTACTACCACGATAATTCTTGAGTGAGTAAGCGAGTGTGTTCTATGTGCGTGAGCCAGTCAAGGCTGAAGTCCTGTTTATGCATTTGTGTAGTCATGCGAGAGCGCGTGTGAATGAGTGTGTCGCTCGTGGATGAGTGCTGCGGCAGCGAGTGTGCTGAGGGAGACAGAAGTCTGCAAAGCCAGAGGGGGCTTGCTTACAGTCAGGTTATCAAACAGGCGAAAAAACCCACAGCTAGGAGTTCAGCTGCGTCGGGCTCTGCACACACACAACACGGGCAAATTAAAAGAAACCCCGCAACCGCCGCAATTATCTTTGGAATGAGGGTAATGCAATTGACACAACAACATCTGAAGGAGAAAGGCTCCACATATCCAAATAAACAAAAGGCAAAGAGCTGCTTTACAATGCATACACAAGACCAGATTCATTAGCATACAAACTGAGATCAGAAGGCGTTCTCAAGTTCAGTACATCACAGCCTTCTCCTTAAAGAATTCCTTATCAGAGTACAGTCAAGTGCAGCCTGCACCACCCCCCCCCCCCCCCCCCCCCCCCCCAATTGCCATGACAACGCTGAAGAAGTTCAACTACACTGACAAAACGGTGCGGATGATTTACTGATTGTGCCTTGTGTGTGCTGGCCTCCCTTTTCCACCTAACCCCACCCCAACCCTGCTACAGCCTCTCCTAGCACGCAGCTGTTGGTCCTGGTGAAGGATGGGCGTGAGTTGTTTTGTCTGCCTTCGTGCGGATAAATAAATGATGAGAGCGTTGGATCTTTGGGACGGGGCTAGGCTGCTGGTCTGTCCCGCTGCGGCTTTTCTGTCCTGTCAACAAGGCCAAAAAAAAAAAAAAGGGTCCGAGATTACTGCTAATTGGAAGTGGCGAGGTGATCTGATGACACTGCAGGGATACTTTGGTTTGTCACAATGTGTAAAGGCCCTCGCATTTCAAGGGTGGCTGCCTTCAAGGAGGAGTTAATCAATGCACAGCTTAACGCAGACGACTCAGGACAGAGCACAGTTGCTGGTCCCGGGGTAACTGAGGTTGAAATCAGCGAGACATTTCAGGAAGACGCTTACTTCAACCCGCTGACTTTGACGCTATTACAACACAACACCTCTACCTTCAGCCATACATCATACAAGAAACTATACCAATATTTTTTGTCAACCCTGTCATTTAGGGCCGACAAGGCAGCAGACAAGCACATGATTTGGGTGTTTTACCTCAGCCATAACTGGATAGCAGACAGCAGCACATCCTGCAGACAGTCACGATAGAGAGCCTGTAAAAGAGAAGATAAAAATGCATAAGCTCGGAACATCAATCATGGTCCTTCGAAAGTGTTTCCATACGCAATCGATTTCCACAGTATCTTCACGCCCTACAGCACATACGATACTATTTCCCAACGACTTTCTTCACGCTCACGAAGACATTTGATATGGGACACAGGAAGATGGAGGAGGAAAACATATATGTGTGTATATCTAGGTACATGCCAGCACCCAAACATGTCATAGGTTCACATCTAATTCCCTTCTGAAGTAAAAGGCATCCGACATAATATCTGTGTCGAAACCTCTCTCTCTTTTTCTTTTTCTTTTTCACGTACTCTCTCTCACTCACTCACACACATGCACATGAACCGCCAGCCTTTACGGTGCGCTACACTGACTTGTAAAGTTGTGATTTACACTTGTGTACCAAAAACAGCTTGAGACAAACAAACACATTAAAATCCCAAATGCTGAGGTCTTCAAAGTGTGCCAGCAGTTGGGCTAATTTATTGAGGCACCCTAAATGTAATAGTGAGGCAAAAAGTAGTTGTTAAAAGTTTGTGCACCAAACAACCATTTTGTTTTTTTCTTTATATAATATACTTAAACTACAAGGAGAACTTTTTCAACCGCAACTTTTTCTTGGATCCTCTATCACACGTGAACCCTGGGTCGCATGCATGTGCTCCCAGACCACCTTTGGTGCGTCCCTTGGTGAAATTAAGACCTTTAGAAACCAATTTACATTGTAAACACACCATGCAAATCTTGTTTACCATGTTGGGGGTCTGCAGACATGGTGGTTGCAGGTCTGAGGACGGAGATCTATAGGGAATCTCCCTGGACCACCACACAGACATGAACACACAGTACCCACCCTGCACCCACTAACTGCATGCCCCCCCCCCCCCCCCCCCCCAGACCCCCACCCCCCCCCCCCCCCCCCCCCCGGGGGCGGAAGGTCTTAATTTCAACAAGGGG